TTGAACCCAGGCCCTTGTGCATGCTAAGCACACAACCTAGCCCTGAGCTATGCCCCCAGTCATGGCCTGTTTTATTGTAGTCTGTGAGCTAATCGTTTTCATGTTTTAAAAGTCTCACAGAAAACAAAAAATAAAAACAAAGAATATGTGACCGAGACTGGATGTGCCCTGCACGGCCTCCGGTACTGCCTGGCCCGTTATGGGAAGAGTCTGCGGAGGCCTGGCCTGGAGAGCTGGCTTCCCCGAGCACTGAGCTGTCCCGCACCATCCTGTGCTCCCAGTGAGACGCTCCCAGCTGCTCGGCTGTTCTCCAACCATCTCCAGCGCACTCTGACCCTAACTTCACGCTGCCTGAGCTCAGATCCTGCCACCAAGGGAGCCCAAACTAAAACCTGAGCTTTGTGTGACCCAGTGGAACAATGGGTCGTCCTCCCTCCCAGGTCAGGGTCTCCACCAACAGCTCCTGCCCTCCCACTCAGGTGCTGTGCCTAGCTGTCCTCAGCCCTGGGTACAGGGGCAGGTGGGTGGGGTCCGATGTGTCTCGGGGCAGAGGTCATCATGGCACATGGGCAGACATCCTGGCCTTTCACCCCGGCCATCCAAGTCCATTTCTGTACCTTTTGTTTCCCTTTGGTACTGGGCATCGAACTCGGGTCCTTGTGCTTTCAAGACAGGCAGCAGAACCTCTGAGCTAAACCCTCAGCCCCATTTCTGGGCCTTTGATGACACTTCTCCTGTTTTGTCAGCAAGCAGCCTCGCATTTCCAAGTTGCACTGGCCCTCACACCTAGGCAGACACGGTGGCCCTGCCCTCTTGCCGTCCTCACCCATCACCTCTCATGGGAAGCTCAGGAGCTGGGCCAGAAGATGTTGCATGAGACACCACCATGGAGACACCAGGAGGAGGCGGCGCTCTCTTGCCTTCCCAGGGGAGAGCAATGCAGGACTGGGCAGGGAAGTGGAAGGGCTATTCCTGTGGTTTCCCTTCCATTTGAGGACACAGATAAAGATGGGAGATAAGGGAGTCTTTGGTCTCTGCCAGGCCTTTGAGGGCTGTCACAGGCTTGTCTGGGAGCCCGGTGGTAACTTCTGCTTGGGAAGAGGCTCTGTCCTGCAAGCCGACAGGTCAGCGCCATGGAGCAGCAGCAAGGGCCGGGCTGCTCGGCCTACCCTGAGTCTAGGACTTCGGGCAGAGGTCAGAGGGACTTTGGAACTCCCCTCTGCCATCCAGCCTGGCTCACCACAGCACAGGTGAGGTGACAGGGCTTCGTGACTCCGGTTTCTTTCTTGGTCCTGGAAAGAATACCTAGGTGCATCTATAGTGTGGCTGAGTGGGCGGAGCAAAGAGGGAACCTGTTGTGATGCCAAGGGGCCAGAGTGCTAGTGGAGGACCTGAGGTGAGCGGGCAAGGAGGAGCGTGAGAAGTGGAAGCCACTGCCACAGCACAGATGCCTGGCCTCATGGAAGGTGCCGCTGTCCTGGGAAGAAAGGCGTGGGAGAAGGGCTGCGTCTGTTCTTTCTCTGAAACCTGCAGGACTCCCACCCTCAGGAGGCCCAGCAGCCTCCAGCCTGTCTCCCCAGATCAAGGCGTGTGTGCACGAGGGGTGTGCACACAGGGTGGTCTGGCCGGGCTGGCATCTGGGCGCTCTTCCTTTGCCCCACACTGGCCCCCTTTGCCAGGCTGGGCCCAGAGTGACAGGACCCTCTGCCACCTTGCCGGGCTGCTGCATGGTCACGCTTTGGGTTCCAGAGCCAATGCTCTAGGCAAGGTAAACAGACACCTCTTGCCACAGTGCCTCTTTGCTCGTGTTTCGTCAGATTCTCCCAGAGGAAAGAGCAGTCACTGTAACCCGGGGCCAGGGAGGAAGAACAGCTAACTCTGCTTGCCAGGCTCTGTGGCAAGGTCACATGAAGTGACGTCCTTAGCACTCAATCCCCAGAGCCCACAGCTTCAAAGAAGTTGACCCCTGGCTGTCCAGGGAGTCTGACTCCACCCGGTCCCTGCTGCTTCTGCCTGAGCAAGAAGGGCACACTCCTAGCAGCCAGCTCCTCTGGTCCTGCTCCATTCATTTCCCGGGGTGACCATGGGTGGCAAGGGCTGTCGCTACTGCTCAGGTGGCCTCTGGGTCTGAATAGGGATGAAGTGCAGTGGTCCTCTGGGTTCAAGCTGAACAACTCTCTCATCTCAGGAATAATAAAAGGAAAGCCATTAAGTGGAATCCAAGCATCTAACAAACTACTAAATGCTGTCTAGTAATCACACTTTATTTCCTCTAAGCAACTTGGGGCTCTGGCAGAAGGAGGAACTGCTCCCAGGATGGACTACGACAGCAAGGCTGTGTTCCTGGGTCCAGAACCTCTGGTCTCCTGCCTGGCTATACAGTCTCTAACACAACTTCATGACCCCGGGACATCAGCAGGAGGCCGCTGGCTCTTCTGCAGGGCTTGTCTCCGGCCTGTCTCGGCCACACCAAGCCAGGGCGTGTCTGGGTTGACAGTGGGTGCTGGAGGGAGGGCAAACATCTCAGCCCCGCAGCTGTCACACCCATCTGGTGCACCCTCCTCAGCTTCCGCCAGGTAGCACCACTCACCTCAGAAGCCCCTGTTCTCTGTCCTGCCTGGCTGTGGTCCTGCCACCCAGCCAGGACCCTCCTCAGGCTTCCTGTGCAAGCAGACAACTCCTCGGGACGAAAGGTGTCAGTCAGCACCAGTGCTCCACCACCGCAGGGGACAGACTTGGGGATCTGCGAGCTGCAGCCCTTACTGCTTACTGGCCCCGGCAGGCAAGTCTCATCGTCTTTTAGAGAACTTTCAGTGAAGAGCAATCCTTTCCTGGGATGTTAGGAATGAAAGAAAGCACCTAGCACGCGGCGGACGGCAGGGAGGGCCAGGCTGGCAGTCAGGGAAACCCAGTCTTCTTCCTCCCCTCCCTCACAGGCCCAGCCCAAGCCATCCCCACCCCTCTCTCAGGACAGGAAGGTGGGCATCCGCCTGGCTCAGCTGCATTTGGGGTGGACTGTAGTTAAACCTAGTCATTACAGGGCCGGGGATTTAGCTCAGTGGTTCCGCCACCTGCTGCGCAAGCGCAAGGACCCAAGTTCGATCCCCGGTACCAAAAAAAACCAAAACCTAGTCATTACACAGCTCCTCTCCCACCCCCACCCGTTCTGAGTCACCCCAGGTTAGGGATGTGTCCTCCACACGCGAGACCTCGGCCATCTCAGTTGTCAGAGCAGAGGCCCTCACGTCATGCACCAAGGACAGTCTATTTTGAAACAGGTGTGTGACATCAAGTTGCCCATTCAAAGATGAGACCCAGCTGTACCCACAAAGCTGCCATGAAACCCTCCATCCAGCAGGCCCCTGGCCCCCGCCAGTTGTGCCGAGCCCCAGAGGACAAATGGTAGAGGACAAATGGCAGAGAAGAAACACCCTCCCCTTTCCTGCAGCCAGGGCCACCTCGGTGAAGAGCATAACAGCAACCGCCTCTTCAGCCTTCCCAGAAGGCACAATAAGTGACAAGCACCACAGGACCCCAGAGACAACAGCATGAGAGGAAGCACTTTCCGCTGAGGGATGGGGCACAACTTCAGAGAAACGTTCAAAGAAGACGTAGCTTAGTGCCTGCAGTGTGCAGTCCCCGGGCTTGGGAACGTGTCACCGAAGCAGACTCCTAACCCAGACGTCTGCAGTGAGGCTCAACACACCTGGTCGGGTCTGGAACTTGGCCTAGGGGCCAGGCTAAGAAAAGTATGACTCTGAAAGAAAGGTCATTAACTCAGAGGAAACCCCCAGAAAGGAAAGCTGGATCTCAAAGCAACCCAATCCACCACTTAGAGTCTGTCATATAAGTATTTTCTCCTGTGCATCACAACTGAGCAAAGTTTAAACAACAAGCGAGGTATGGTGGTGCACACCTGTAATGCCACCACTCGAGAGGCTGAGGCAGGAGGATCACAAGTTCAAGGCCAGCCAGACTACAGAGTGAGACCCTGCCTCAAAAAAAAAAAGTTTAAACACCAATCCAAACACCATGAGCCAGAATGACAAGATACGGTGACAGAGGTACAGTGTCACGGAGCTGGGCCAGCATCTGAGGCCCTGCCCTTCTGTCAAAAGGAAGTATCACTGGGCCATGTGCTGACTGTTGAGGAATGACGCGACACCGGGTTGCACTCCTGAAGCACCAACTTGGCACCAGCAGGGACTCTCTCTAAGCGAGGGTCACCTTTCCTGCTGCTAAGGAGTCAGAAGCTCGGAGCAGGGCTCGGACCCGCGCCATCCTCCCAGCATGGAGCTCATGGACACATAGTGAACCTGGGAACCAGAATGCTTCCCAGGGAAAAGGGTAACCAGGGAGACCTCTTCACACGGCTGTCAGGCTTTGCAGCCAGCAGTCATCGGTACCACCTCGCACGTCTCACCCCAAGCCCCTCCTTTACAGCAGCGAGGGCCGAGGAACGCCTGCTAAAGGCAGACGGGACTCGAGGGCTCCCAGGGCTCTCACCACAGTCCCTGTCAGCACAGCAGGCCTCAAAACCAGCAAGAGGCCAGGCAGAGAATCCTCGCAGACCTAGGCAGGCTCATGGACAGAGGCGCCATCTTGGGCTTAGCCGCCAGGACAGCGTCCAGGGAATGGTTCAAATGGCCTGCGCCATACAATGCCTGAAGGCTCCTGCTCCTCACCGGGCACTAACAGGGACTGTCACTGCTCACAAGGAAAACGAGAAGGTCGTGCCATTCATGACCTCACAGTTCTCAGAAGTGTCTACATGCTAAGCTGTAACAGCACCGCGATGAGCACTGATCTGGTGACTCAGCAGCAGGGCCGGCCTAGACTGTTTTATCTCACTGGCCAAACTCCCCAGGACTGGAGCTTTCCACGGAGTGGCTGCCATGAGCCCAAGTCCACTGCACAAAAACACATGAGTCCCAAGGGCTCCAGAGCAGTTAGGGTCCCAAGACGCTGCCCACCATGCCCAGGGCGACCCAGAAACGCACCAGCAGGCCAAGATGCAGAGGCCTGTGAAGAGGACGATGGGGACCGGGTAGGAGGCACAGAACAGCCCGTGGCTGTAGAAGGCCTGAGAAATCTTCTCACGCAGCCGTTCAGTCAGGGTCATCCTCAGGCGAAGTCACGTTGCTGCCATCCCGGGAAGCGACCATGAATTAGCCTGGCAGGCGCTGGGCACCAATGACAAGGGACACCATCTGCAGGTACCTGGCCAGAAGGGACAAAAGCCATTAACAAGGAGTTTTTGGTTCTGCACACTCACTTTGCTGGAGGAGGTGGCAAGAATGTGGCCAGAGAATGGTACAAGGTCTAAAGAGGGACATCCCGACACACACCCACAGCCACTCTCCAGGGACCATGGGCCACACTCTGGTCAGTCTAAGGAAGCTCCCCTCCAGCCCTGATCACAAACTCTCAGCCTCTTCCACAGCCGGCATTTGAAAGGGCATCTTCCTCACAGGTGGCACAGGAAAGACACACAGGCAACAGACATCACCTGCAGCTGCTCGCCAATGAGCCAGCTCTCTGAACACCCTCCCTGTCTTCCTCTTGCACAGGCTGGGCTGTGAGAAATCACAGGAAGGACCTTTGAAAAGGACAGCCCCAAACACATCCATGTACCAACAGTGACCTCTGATAAAGAACGTCCAGTGGGGTCAGTGCTCAACACAAAAACTCAAAAAGCTTAGCCCCTAGACAAGAGCCACCAGAAGGAATTCCTCCTAGCAAAGTGTTAGGTTGCAGCCTCTGCTCCTGCCCCCACAGTTGTCCTGGGAACATGCAGGCAGAGGGCCCTCCTGGCCCTGCCTGCCCTGCAGCTGTCCCCCTTTGATTACCAGTGGCCAACTGTGGCTCGAGGGACCCTCTTCTCCACGGACTCAGCACCCTCCCAGAACCACACCACAGCAGCTGGGCCTTCCCCCAGACTCTGACCTCTGAGCAGAGCAAAGGAGGAACTGGACACTGCCAGTGTTTGTTCATTCCCAAGAGCTTCCTGCTTGCAAGATCCCTGGGGCTGTGGCTGGCTCCAGTCCTGTCGCAAGACTGGCTCATCAACTTTCCTTTCCAGACTCTAAGTTTTCCTATACTCTTCTAATAAATCCTTTTCCCCATGTTAGCCAAAGTTAGTTTCTGTTGCTTGCAATCAAACAATCTTAAACCAACAAAACCGAACAGAGAACTACAGAAGACCCAGGGATCTAGAATTCTCTTCCTAACTGAGCTCTCCAATCAAGTTCAGTTTAAGTCCACCTCTATTCCACACTGCTATTTCTCTGGTTTGTGTTACAGGGATCCTGCCCAGACATGTGTCTTGCTTGATTATCCTCTCTGATGAAAACCTAAGCTGAAAAGTGTCAAACCCAGAACTGAGAAGCAAAAGAAATCAACCATGACTAATTCACAAGCAAAAGAACAGCTCTCACTCCTACCACCTCCTGGAAGCACCAGCCAGAAGTGCACATGCCATCTTCCAGTCCAAGAAGTCCCTGTGGATCCATCCAACAACCGTTGAGTAGAGCAGGCAGCAGGTGACAGCTGCTGGTCAGAGCAGCGGCCGTGCTCACAACAGCTCCACTCTTCACAGACCCACCAGGACCATGACAGGCGGAAGAGGCCTCAAGCGGAGGACTCCTGATGGTGCTCAGCACGGAACCTCCTGCTCCCCAGGGGAAAATAAACACGAACGAGATCTGCACCCCAGAAACACCCTATCGGGATCCCCGTGGACAGGCAACTGGAAGCCAGCTGCCGTCTCCCTGACAAGCCTCACACATCTCCCCTTAAATGTTGCCCCACATCACACCCTCTGAAATTCTGATCCTACGATCCCATCCCCCAACTCCAACATGGTGGCTACAAGAAGAGGCCCGGCCCAGCTCTGCAGTCCAGAAGCCATGGCCGTCTAATTTACGCTCACCTTGCGGCCAACACAAACCTGATTTCCACTGATCTTTACTATGTTAGCTGTTGATTTTCATAGCACCTGGGAAACAAATCCAGATTCTGGTTCATTACAATCAAGTCCATCACCTACCTGAACCTAGCAAGAGGAGATAACTATTCATCTCTGCTCCACAGTATAAATTTTTTTTTTTTAAGGTACCGGGGATCGAACTCAGGACCTTGTGCTTGTGAAGCAGGCGCGGCATCCACAGTATAAATTTTAATGCAACACTACCCCAAAGCAACATTTAGCCAATCTGCAGGAAAAAAACCTTTTTCTTGTGTTGACCCACACCTGCAGGTTGCTTAGGATCAAAACCTACAACTCTTAACAAAAAAAAAAAAAAAAAACCAAAACCCTACAGCTCTGTTTCATGAATGTAAAGAAACAGTCTTGTCCTGGAGTTCTAACTGGACCAATTACATAAAAACTTAAGTAATCCTGCCTTTGCCATTCCGGAAGACCCCACTATAAGCAAAAACAAAGGAGCTTGTTCTTAGAAACCCAAATTACAAGGGCCAGGGATTTAGCTCAGTGGTGCCGCACCTGCCTCGCAAGCTCAAGGTCCTGAGTTCAATCTCTGGTATGGGGGAGGGAGGACCCAAATTACAAAATCATACAAGCAAGGAACAAGCCCTGCTAGACCAGGACAGAAGAGCAGCCCTGAGGAAGCCCACGAAAAGGACAAGCCCAGGTCAAGCCGTACTCACGAGACAGGGGTGCAGGGCAGGGAGCGTGAGCCCCACAGGGAGGCAGATGCACCCCACCTCATCCTAAGCTGACTCAGGGTGCCCAGGTCCCTGAGCTCATCCCAAATGAGAGAGTAAATGTAGAAGTCTGGGCAAATTCACACACATATGTTCAAATGTCCAAAGTTTGGTAAGAAATTGCCAGAATATCCTGCAGTGCTCACACTGGTTCACACTCCCACTGGCAGCAGCACCAGATCTAAAATCTCCACTTTCCCAGCAGCATTAGATACGGTCACTATAAAACATTTAACTGCACTAACTGGTATGTATTGATATTTAATTGGGTCTTAATTTACATTTCCCTAATGGCTAGGGATGATCATTTTTTTCTTGTAATTTGTCATCAGTGTATCTTTTTCCATCAATTTTTTTCATTTCCTTTGATCATGTTCTAACTGGAATTTTTAAATTGCAGAATATTTTTAAATAAGTTAATTAAGGTATAATTCACATAGCATAGAAATCACCCTTTTAGGACATTCATGGGATGGTACAACCATTTCTCTGTCTAATTCCAGAACATTTCCGTCACCCCCAAGGAATGCCATGCCCATGTGCAATCACTCCCCATCCCCTGGCCACCTGGCCCACACCTGCTCACCCTCGGGTTTCAATGGCCTTGTCTATTCTACGCATTCCATATAAAACAGACTCTTGCAACGTGGCTGTGTGTGAATGGCTTCTTTCACTTACCACAATGTTTTCAAGGACTGTCCAAGCTGTAGCAGGGATACTACTATTCCTTTTGTCACATTTTGCTTACTCCTGGGTTCACAGACAATAGATGATTTCCACTTTTCTGCTATTGTGAACAGTGTTATTATTACGAACATTGCTGTATGAGTTTTTGGTTGAACATCTGTCCTTAATTCTTTTGAGTATATTAATTATTAGGAGTGTAATTTTTTTATTTTTTTGAACTGGGGATGGAACTCAGGACCTTGCGCTTTCAAGGCAGGCGGCAGAATCACTGAGCTAAATCCCCGGCCCAGGAGTGGAATTTCATGGTCATAAGTGTAATTTTCTCCAATGTTTTTTCCTAAGATTTGTGTAGTTTTACATTTAAGTCTATGATCCACTTGAGTTCATTTGTGCATAAACTGTAGGTGTCAAGTCTGGGATCCTTTTTTTGGCCTCCGGATAAGTAGTTCTTCTAGCACTATTTTTTTGTTGTTTTTTGAGACAAGATCTGAATGTGTAGTCTGGGATGGCCTTGAACTTGCTGTGTAGCTCAAACTGGGCTCCAACTCTTGACCCTCGTGCCTCAGCCTCCTGAGCGCTACCATACCTGGCAAGATACTAATTTTGTTCCTTCGCAAATAAGTGTGTGGTTGTCTTCTCAGCTATAACTCAGCCTGAGTTACACAGTGACCTCAAGGCCAGTCTGAACTACACTTTGAGACCCGGTCTCCAAAAAACCCAGAAGAAGCAGACAAGGCAAACGCTGGTACCCCTGACCTCCAGATGCAGAAACAGACCTAGAGAGCACACGGGCTGGGTCTTACCAAACCACAAATGTTCTTCTTACCTCGCTATTCTCTCTCAAATGATCTTGCCAATTCCCCTAGTTCTAAATACCATTCATCTCCATTTGGGTATCCGACCCTGTCTGCACTCCACACCACACAGCTCATCACCTACAGCAGTCTGGCTATGAAACCACTGTGCCCCCACTAAGTATTTCAGCTATAAAACCACCTATGCTCTCCTGGGGAAACTCGCACGCTGTAAGACCAGGCGTCACAATTAACAGGGCCTCTGGAGAGGGCAGTGTTGGGGAGGCCTCAGAACCTGGGGAGTCCTGTGACCAGCAGAGCAGTAGGAAGTATCCAAACGCTAACTGGAGGCTGCCCTGCCATGCAGAGCCGTGCAACTCGTCTGCTCAGGGTGTGTTTCCCCTCTGCAGCAGCCATAGCTGAGAGACCTGTTTTACTACTGCAGGGTGGATCCCGAGTGTCCCTCGGAGGGATGTGCTGCGGACTGGTCCCCCAGTGGTGTCCTGGGAGGCGGTGGGACCTGAGGGCTGCTGGTCCCGGGGCTGTGCCAAAGGGACCTACAACTCTGAGCAAAAACATTAAAACTCTCATTATGAGATGATTCTCCCCAGTAGTTTGTTCAAAAAGCTAAACTACACTCTCTTAGATAAATGCCTCTGCAGCTTCTCAACTGGACAGTGTTGCCACACTCACTGTCCTTGTGCAAAAGGAACCACTTCTGGAGACTTCTCAGCGCCCCTCATCTTTATGCCCTGCTAGTGCCGAGGAAAGCTAGCCACAGCCACCTCCAAACCTCAGCAAGGTAGGGAAACAATCGCCTATGGAGCAAGGCAAGGTCCATGATACAGAACTGGTTCTCCTGTACAATCTCGAAAGTGTGTCCTGTCCCCCGCCCCGTCACCGGACCTCCACCCCCACCCTGCCCTTGCTCCTCATCCTGTCTTCCCGGGGCCTTCTTAGGAAGCCTGGGGATCTTTCTCGGCTCCTGACCCCTCCCTACCCCCAAACACCAGC